TTATAAAGGTACTACATGTGGACCTCTCTTTGATTTGTTCTTTTTGTGATGATATCTTTAATTATCTAATTTTGGTGAATATTTTTGTCATTTTTGGTAAAAAGTGATATTTTCTTCTTGTTAAAAACCACAATCATTTATGGTGAAAAATGATATTTTTGAATTCTTGTTGAAAACAGCACGTTCCATTGCATTGATACTATGCATATTGTTCATTTTCTAATGATATCTTCTGTTCTTTAATTGAAATGTGCATTGCTAACAGCGGAGCTACATGTATCTCAGCTGAGAGGCTGCTTGTTTACTTTTGAGTTCATTCAGACTCGACCAGCAGCAAGCCAAGATGATATATAGAAGATAATATTAGTAGTAGTCCTAAATAACTATTAAAAATAGCTAGACGTTTCGAGCAATGGCTCTTTATCGATAGCATAGAAGAAAAAGATTTAATAGCAAGCAAGCCAAGCATGGCAAGTCAAGATGGCCGCTGCCATGCCGAGTCTACCACAGCTGTTCGATGGACTGACACCTAAGCATGGTATTCAGTGTGACTCTGTGGATGGTATTAGTATTGAGATGTACGTACACAATATTTCAAGTGTGGTCGAGCCACAAAGCATCTTAGCGGCATCACGCGCTAATGGAGCTGTACTTGTTTTCCTGAAAAATGGAACTGATGTTGGAAGGATTTGTGCTGTTGGACACATCGCCATTGGTGAGTCAAATATTTCGTGCAGCCGTTGGTCAAACCCGCTACTAAAGTTTTCATATCAGGGGTTCCCCCTTTTTTTTCAAACGACGTGTTGCATACAGAACTATTGAGATATGGACGTATTGTCAGTACCGGTACGATTCGTTTAATACCACTGGGATGTAAAAAACCCATGCTTAAACACATTAAATCGTTTCGGAGGCAAGTTTACATGCATATTGATGAAAAACTTGATGGGGCTATTAATGTTAGCTATGAAGATCGATTGTACCGTATTTACCTCTCTACGGATGAAATTACATGTCATAGATGCCACAAGAAAGGCCATATACAAAGAAACTGTTTTGAAAATATCGCCACTGTATCTAACGATAAACCACAAGATAAAGTTGTTTCAACACAGCTTGAGCACAACAAACAACATGATAATGACGAAAATGATGTGCCTGATCATGCCGGTGATCAAAACAAATTCACTTGTACTGATTATCCTGCTGAGGAAAAATGTGCGATTGTAGTGTCTGAACCTATTACTACTCCTGCACTTCAACATGATGATAGTGATTGTTTGGATACTACTACCGCAGTAGCAAAAAACGATATTCGGCACGGTCCTGAAAATAAAACCGTTGAACTTGGAGACCTTTCTGCCACGCGTAATTTAAATGACAAAGAATCTGCTGAACAAACCACGGCTGCTGAGAACAATGAAAGTAATACAAATGATGACTCGATTAACTCAAACGACACCGCCACGCCCGTCAAATCTCTATCTGAAGAAACGTTACAATTTTCAGTACCTAATATACCAACGAAAACATTCAGTTTTACTGGCAACTTTAAAATTTCATGATGCACTGAATACGAACAACAAAAGGATTTATCACTACTATCAGAAGATGCAGTGCGGACCTTTGTGAACTACCGGTACTCTTTCCACTCTAATTTGAGTTTACTAGTTCGGTCAATCAATCACGTGATAGCGTATTCTAGTCTTACCAAAAAGGAAAGGACATGCATGGAAAGAATTAGCCGAAAGTTAGAATACTACCTGATTCAACAATCAAGCAAGTCTGGGACCACCTAAATTAAGAATGTACTTGATTTGATAATGAACTGATAATTGAGATGTATAATTGACACTCGATCCAAGCTTTTCTTATATTTGCTTTATTTACTATTCGGTATACTTATTGTATAACTACTAATACGTTTAATATAGTTTACTGACTCTATTGTTTATCTGTAAATAATTACATATATAAGTTTGTATCATATTTCTATTTTTACTGTACAACCTACATGTATATAAATTATTGTTAATTGATTTATTTTTATATCGAGGAATAAAAATCAGAAATGTATATGTGTGTGTGTGTGTGTGTGTGTGTGTGTGTGTGTGTGTGTGTGTGCGTGTGCAAGTGCGTGTGCGCGTGCACGTGCGTGTGCGTGTGCGTGCGTGTGTGTGCGTGTGTGTGTGTGTGTCACTTTTTTTGTTCCACCGTTATCTCAAGAACCACTAATCAAATTTTGGTGAAACTTGGTACATAGATGCTCTGGAATAATGCGCAGAGTTGATTAGGTTTTGGTAAAAATCCATTAATATTAATTACCTAATTTGCATAATAATTAACTGATTTTAAGCTGTTCCATGACTGTTCCACTGATATTTGAAGAACGACTCATTGGATTTTGATGAAACTTGGCACATGGATACTCTGAACTAATGCACAGATTTGATTATTTTTGGGTAAAAACCTGTTTATATTATTTACCTAATTTGCATACTGACATACTGATTTGAATTCCACTGATATCTCAAGTACATCACATTTCAATTAAACTTACATAGATGTCATATGACACTGCACAGATCTGATAGTTTTTAGGGTAACATCACTGCATAATTAATTAATTTTCAGCTTTTGATGTTTCGAGTAGTAATGATCACATTTCAATGAAACTTGGTACATAGTTACTTGAGGACTGTGCAGAGACCTAATCAGTTTTGGGGTAAATATTTGTGCATATTAATCACCTTATTAGCATAATTAGTTAATTTTCAGCTTTTCACCTGATATCTCAAGTACTAATAATCACATTTCAATGAGACTTGCAACATAGATCTTCTAGGACTATGCAGAGACCTGATTAATTTTGGGATAAATAATTGTGCATATTAATAACCTAATTTGCTTAATTAGTTAATTTTTTGCTGTTCTATGGCTGTTGCACTGATGTCTAAAAAAACACTCATTGGATTTTAATGAAACTTTTAAAGAGTACCCATCACATTTCAATGCACCTAGGACTATACACCATATTAGTTTTTGGTAAATATTTATGCTTCTTAATCACCTAATTAACATAATTAATACTGATATCTCAAGTATTGATCATCACATTTGAATAAAACTTGGTACATAAATGCTCTAGGACAATAGACAGCCTGATTAATTTTGGGTTAAAATCTGTTTATATTAATTCTCTAATTAGCATAATAATTAATAATTTTTAGTTCTAATCACATTTCAATGAAACTTGGTACATTGTGCAGACCTTATTAGTTTTACACTTAAATCTGTTCATATTAGTTACCTTATTTGCATAATTACTTTTCTGCGTTTCCATCAATATCTCAAGTTCAAGTAATTTTGAATTAATTTTTAATGTGTCTCCAATACTCTCAGCACACAGGAGTTCTTTCTAAGCTTTCTTTGATTGTCATTTTTGGTAAAAAGTGATATTTGCGACTTCTTGTTGAAAACCGCAAGTCTGTTTGTTTGATACTATACATATAAGTACCTCAGATATCTTCAGTTCTGTGCATTGCTGACAGTGGAGCTATATCAGCCGAGTGGCTGCTTGCTACTTGTGTTAAGAAATATGCACTTGTATTTTTGCTCTATTATTAGTGCACTATAGTCAATATATGTTCGTTATTGAAACCCTTGTCTAGATAGGCAGAAATGCTTGATTTTTGTCTCTGTTTGGCCTCATATTTAATTTGCTCTGCAAAAGAAAAAAAAATGACAGGCATCAAAGTCTCATGCTGTTCATGTACACAACCATGATCCAGTTCTACAATGGCAGAAATGCTTGATTTTGATAAATTTTTAATGCACAAATGGCCTCCATTTGGCCATCCTAAATCTGATTTTGATGTGAGTGAACATGCATATGTATCCCAAAATGCATGCTGTATCTGAGAAGTTTGAAAGTCATCGGTATATTTGAATATAATCAACTTCGCTGTCATGGTGCTGAATTCTTGTTTGCTATACCTGTAGGAGAGCTTCGTTGCTGAGTGGAATACGTTGTAACTCTTATATTCTGTCATCCAATGGATGGTATTTGAGGCAATTCTTCTTTTTTTGTTACAGCTATTTGCAGACAAGGCTGCCATTCACTTCATGGAAAATGTGATCAACCAAATGACTGCAGGTATGGTTCATTCATTCATTCATTCATTTGTACGTACATACGTTCCTTCAATTGTTCGTTCATTTGTTCGTTCGTTCATTTGTTCGTTCGTTCATTATTCATTCATTCATTCATTCATTCCAATAAAATATCCTATATATTCAGAGAGGGCGAGTCATTGACATTGTTAATGAAATATGGTGAAAAATGTGTCTTGAAAATTAAGGTTTACTTAATAGCATTCACTTGTGTGTCTACAACAAATGCTGAAATTTTACTAATATACTATATTAATAATGGTCACATTGACATTATTTTTTTGACATTCTGTTTTAATAAGGAACAGAATATGATATATACTCAAAGAGTACTCTGGTAGATTTGTCTATTACTGTAATAAAGATGCTAAATCAAAATGAAGGGAAAGATTACAGTGGCAGAATAACTTATCTTTTTGGACATGTCTCTCATACATAATCAATATCATGAGGTTACAATTATTCTGCATTTAGCTTTGTTTTGAAAAAAAATCGCTAGTAAATAGTATTTATAACAACTATAAAATGTTTTGAATCTGAATCTGAATTATTTTCCTTGTTTTTCTTCAAAGGAGGATTGTGTAAAGGTATAATTCTTTTTTTTGCACCAGTATGAGCACTATAAGCAGATCTAATAGCATGTGCTTGTCAGTCTGCAGGTGTGCCTCTGTTATACAGTATTGCCATGTTGACACATTCCAACATATGCTATATCTGAAAGAATGCAAAAAATGTCTTCAACTTTGTTGTATTCTCACAATTTACTGGCATGTAATCTCTAAATGTAATTATAGGTCTAGGAGTGATTTACTGACAAGATAGGGAGTTTAATTGACCCAGGTGATGATTTGTAGCATATGGAATTAGTTATTCATCGGTATTATGTACTATGGGAGCTGTAGCATAAATCATAAGGGATGTCTACTGTAATTGCTTTGCATAATTGCATTAGACAATAAGTAGACTACATTCCAGGCTAGGCATCTCAAGAAGATAAACTTTAGCAACAACATTCAGCTATTCAGTCAACCAGCAAACGTTCACTTCCCAGACATAGTCTGGCATGAATAATTAACAAACATGCATTGCCCCTGTTAGCTATCACTTAATAAGTGCTTAAATATATAACAGACAAAAAAGTTTTCCATTTAAATATGTTTTAAAAATGAGTATTATTTCATGTACATGTTTATTATTTGGTAATTTTTACAAACCAAATCATTTGAATGCTTGAAAATGTTTTACAAGTAAAACCTGGCATTTGCCAATGAAGCTACATTTCTGGCATTTCATAGTAGTCAGACTGTAGGTAATCTGGAAGATGAAGTATGTGACGTCACATCCTTACAAAAGTGACTACTTTGTGCTGTTTGAAAAAAACCAACCTCTGTGGTAACAATTAACCTGGACAAAAATCATTCTTATTCATTTTGATCGACCCACCACCACCACATCACATTGATATTATTAGCTCCACTGTCGATGAAGTCAAGCGAAGCTTATAGTATTACTGATTGTCCGTCGGTGTCCGGCATCGCCGTCGTCAACTTTACATTTTCGACTTCCTCTTAAAAACCACAAACTGTATAGCTGTGCAACTTTCTAGGAAGGTACCTTGGGTCGTTCTCTCTCAGATTAGTTCATTTCGTGTGGATATGTTCAATTGTCTCATTTATAGCGAATATTTTTGTCATTTTTGGTCAAAAATGCTATTTTTGACTTCTTCTTGAAAACCGCTAGCCCAAATGCTTTGATACTTGATATGTAGGTACCTTGGGTGGACCTCTCTCAGTTTTGTTCATTTCGTGATGATATCTTTAATTCTCTAATTTTGATGAATATTTTTGCCATTTTTGGTAAAAAGTGATATTTTCGACTTCATGTTAAAAACTGTAAGTCCAATTGCCTTGATATTACATATATAGGTACTACATGTGTACCTCTCTCAGATTTGTTCATTTTGTGATGATATATTTAATTCTCTAATTTTCATGAACATTTTTGTCATTTTTGGTAAAAAGAGATATTTTCGACTTCTTGTTAAAAACCACAAGTCTAATGGCTTTGATATTATATAAACTACATAGGTACTACAGGTAGACCTCTCAGATTTGTTTATTTCGAGATGATTTTGTTCTTCAATTATCTAATTGACTCCCATGTGCGAAGCACAAAATGGGAGTCTTTGCAGTTAGTGTGTCTGTATGTGTGTGTGTATGTGTGTATGTGTGTGTGTGTGTGTATGTGTGTCCGACTGTTCCACTGCTATCTCAAGAACCATACATCGGTTTTTGATGAAACTTGGTGCATAGATGCTCTGGGCCAATGCGCAGATTTGATTAGGTTTTGGTAAAAATCCATGCTCGTTAATTACCTAATTTGCATGATAATGAGCTAATTTTTAGCTGTTCTATGACTGTTCCACTGATATCTAAAGAACCACTCATTGGATTTTGATGAAACTTGGTACATAGATGCTCTGAACATATGCGCAGATTTGATTAATTTTTGGTAAAAATCCGTGCATATTAATTACCTAATTTGCATGATAATTAGCTATTTTTTAGTGGTTCCATGACTGTTCCACTGATATCTAAACAACCACTCATTGGATTTTCATGAAACTTGGTACATAGATGCTCTGAACTAATGCTAGGTTTTGATTAGTTTTTGGTAATAATCCGTGGATACTAATTACCTAATTTGCATAATGATTAGTCAATTTTCGGTTTTTCCACTGATATCTCAAGTACTAATCATCACATTTCAATGAAACTTGGTACATAGATGTCATACGACACTGCACAGACCTGATAGTTTTTATGGTAATATCAGTACATATTAATTACCTAATT